GTGAACGTACTCTCTTATTACCAATTATTACTCTTTTTTTATTTCACTGATGGATCAGCGTGGAGCCTGTTAAAAGTTATGTCTGTCTTTAAGCTTATAATGGGACGATCTTGCTGTTATGGCCTCCAACATTCGCTCTTCTGAGAGAGGAGAGAAGTTTCTCATATTATAAAATTCAATGCCACAGCATATTTTAGAAAAAGTGGCCAAGTTGATATTTCTGGAATATTCTTACCGACTTAATATAAAAAACAATTTTGAAATTTTGATTTCAGTCGAACCATCAGCACCAGAGCTGAGTATTGGTCCAGTAACAACCAACAGTATCACAATACTATGGTCGTATACCAGGCCTGATGCTGTGTCCTTCATTGATCGGCATATAGTAGAAGTGAAAACAGTTGACAGTATTTATACAGTAGTTCAGAACAGCGTGACGTCGTATCAATTTAATAATCTCCAACCACAGGCGGTTTATTCTTTCAGAGTAATCGCTGAAACAAACAACAAAAACCTGACAACAATCTATAAACATATCACTACAAGAGGTAATCATACAAATTGCTGTGGTTCTTCATAATGGTATTCTTGTTTTAAGCTTGACCCAAGACAGGTGCTTTTACGAAAAGTGTTTGATATATGAATCTTTAATAGTCCCTAACACCAAGACGAGGATATGCTATACTATATACAAAATATGACTGGGTGAACTTTAATGGAATCTGTTGGCAAACTGCTAAAGACAAAACCCAAACCAATTGCAAACAATGTATAGAATTGTACCATTTGAATCCGTGGTTTGGATGAATGGCGAAGGTACTAATGTATTTAGAAGTGGCTCAACTACCGATGAGGGCTCCACCCCAAAAACTTTATAACTTAACAACTCCAGTCCACGGTCCCCTACTCATCAAGTGTAGCCACCTGTACTAGTATAAAGTATGTTTAAAATATATATGTAAAATATATTTTATTAAGAACTGCTATGTCAATGATTCTATTTCAGCGATCCCTATTCTAACGAACGTTTTGATAGGTTTTAAAGTATTAAATCGTGTTTGGAATGATAAAATGGTGAATAACCAATCTCAAGAATATAAACAACTGAAACAAGAAACTGAGGAAAATGTGAGAATTTATTTTTCATTATCAGTTTTATACTGCTCTCAAAGAAAAATTCGGGGTGACACATCCTACTGTCATATACCTCATGAAGAAGAAGAAAGGTACCGCGTTGAAATGATGCAATGGTGGAGACATATTGCCAGTGGAATGTTGTTTATCAGTCTCGTCAATGTGCATTGGCAATAGAAAAATGTTTTTTCTTTAAAGGGAAAATTTCGCCATTGTTGGGGGTTCTCGAACTCGAATATAATTATGTGAATAGTCTTCAGTTGTGCTAGAAATGTACAAAAATTCCATGAAATTCCTCTCACTAGGAATTTTACATACGTGTTTTTCCTGTATATAGCCGAGTATCAAAAAAAGACGAGTCGTTTTTTTTTAAACTTTCAAACGTGGATAATTCTGGACCAATATGGATTTGAAGGCTCAAATTTCGACGGTGATCTGTAAACACCATTACTGATGGGCTTAGCTAAAAAAGAAAAATCCTGTTTCTAAGAATAAGGTATGACTGGTCAAACGGATGGCGAATCAGACTCTTTAATAGCCCCAGTTTCATTTAGATTGCATTTGATTGAATGTTATGACAACGATGCTGGTTTATTTCAGTTTATGGCTGCCTTAGGTAACTTTGAAGGCTTACATAATATGGTAATCATCAATATGAGGTAATTCAAAAACTCTTATGTTTTTTTTAATTGACTTTTTCCACCGAAACAGCATTACTATAAAAGGGGAAACTTCTATGTGATTTTCGTGATATTAATAATCCAAAAATGTATGGATTATGTTTTTATTTGATCATACTTTAAGATAATGACTAATATTATTTTGTTCCCATCAGACCAGGGAGTGTTATATTTGATGGTATCATGTTTGTAAATCAGAGTGGTACGGTCGAGGATACATCTCAAACCTTTTTAGATCAGGTTTATACTGGTACATTGGGCAATTTGACCGTACAGGACGGTATAGTCCATCAAGGAGGTAATGATTTCAATTTCGTTGGAATATCTCCCCTTTTTAGTTTATAATCAATACACTTAACAATGGTTTAATGCCATAGCTCGCTCAACTAGCTCTCCGATCAACAATAAGCTCTGCGGTGGTGCTTCTATGAATCATTAGATGTGGGAGCTTAGTAAGGGGCACAGAAATGTCGATGGTGGTCACTAAGCTTTCCCTTATATTCAATGATAAGAAATTTGAAAGGGGGTGGAGGGCAAAGCCGGGTCAGCTTTAATTCAGCATTAATCCCTTTCTCACCTACCATAAGCTCTTCCGAATTCAAGTAGCTTTTAATGAGGTCTTCTTCAAATAGCCCTATTATCTGAAACATTATAATCGTCACTTTAAAACCTCTTCTAGGCATCAGTAAGCTTTTTTTTTACTATCAATTAGCTTTCTTGATTAAATTCTTCCATCCTCAGCAACCACATTTGTATATTCCAGATCAGTACATATCCTCGGCGACCTTAACATTGCGTGATGGTGATCCAGATAAGTTATTAGAAGGAACATCAATAGAATATGCCTGTAAATTTAGACTAGTTAGTGTCAATGGTGTAACTAAACCAAACGTTCGGTGGTTTTTAGATGACACGCTTTTAATAGTAACTCATACACCAAGAATCAAAATGAGGAATTCAACAGACTCTAATGATAGATTTGGGTATCAATATATTATACAGTTTGATAAAGCTATACCAAGTCATGCTGGTAAGTTAGTAATATATATATATATATATATGTTTTTCTTATCTTTACGCACAGAGTCACCAAAATATGATTTGTACTTCCAATTACACCCCAACCTCATTTTTAAAAATATGATTTTTTCCCCAAAATATTTGTCAGAATTCGCCATATCAATTGTAGTTTTCAAAGAAATTTTTGGGGGAGAACCACAGACGATCTATGGGAGGCTCTGGCCATGGGGAATCTCAACCTCCCCTCGGTGAAGTCTGCCCGCTATTTGTAATTTCAGTTTCGGGAGACTGGCGCAGTCTCTCCCTCACAATACCACACTTATTGATCCCATGAAGGATTTGGGAAAAGGCTTTAAAAGACACAATGCAGTTTTCACCACCTTAATATTAACCATTCTTTTTAAATAAGATTGGTTTTACTTCAGGTTTGTTGACATGTATGGTTCAAAGTTCATCAAAATCATCTATCAATTCGTCGGCAACAGAAGCAGTAAAAATAATCTCTAAACCAGTTGTAACACTGTGGCCATTATCAACATTTTTACAAGATGGAGATTCAGTTACATTAAAATGTTCTTCACCGATTTCTCCAGTAACTTATTCTTGGTTTGATGCCCAAACTGGTATCGAGATCTCTTCAGGTAAACTGAATCTAAGTAATTGTTTAATATGAAAATATCTTTCACCTAAAAACAAGTATTGTGCTTTTAACACTCATTTGATTTGTATCAGGAACCAGTTCAAGCAATGGGAAGGGGGGTGAAGGCAACGAGGGGGACTCTCGAAAGAATTTGTTTTACCTTAAGATGGATTCACACCCACAACACCTAATCGTCCAGAAGTGGTCTTTTTCCTGATACAGATACATCTGTTTCCTTGATTATGTTGTAGTTAACAGATCAGATCAGTCATTCTACCATAGAGTCCTCGTAAATTTGCTGATTTTATTAGAAATTGGTTGTAAAGTACAATAGGAATATAGTTCAATAGAAATAATAATATGTTCCAATGTGCAGTCTAGATTAGTTCAGATAGTTAGTTTTGTCAACATAGTAAAAACATATATAAGTTGTGCTGACATTACACCACTTTATCATTATTTTATTTCTTATTGATAGCCAGAAACCTGGATTCTTACTCAGTATCTATTGTGGATAAAGATATACAAGTATATTGTAAATGTGAAAATTTAGCAGGAATGACTCAAAGTCCAACAGCAACAATTCACCATACACCCTCTATTACTGGTAGGTAAATAGATAATAGTTTATTGTTTGAAGTCTTGGTTGTTTTAATTACTGATTGTGTTCGTACTGAAATGTTGTTTTAAAAATCTGAAAAATAGAAGTGAACGTGGACTCGGTACAAAATGCATAGCAAAATTGTAAGGAAAATCACATTAGAAAAGTTTTCCCCAAAACATATTAAGTAATAATTTGGAAAGGTGTCGGAAAATATGTTTTCATTAAAAGGGCCATTTAAGATTTTATCGGAAAGGTGTTCTTTATGAACATGGCCACTTTTATATGATTGTATTATAATTACAGATAGTTTACCATGTAGAAGTTCTACTGATGCCAGAAATACGACATGGCCACCTGTTAAAGCTGGTACCAGGGTGAAGTTAACATGTGGAGAAAACTATAATGGTATTTAATATTCAAATATAATCCGAATAACTTCTTTGTTATTGAATATTTGATTACTTGAGCTAGAATTTATTTACTTCCTGTGAGCTTTGAAGTTTATTTTTTTTTTTTTTTTGTGTATTTGTTTTTATTTTGGAAATCAGCCCACACAGTCAGATTGGTTTCAACAACCATTATTTTAAAACTATTATATACAGTATTATGTATTTGTCTATTTCAAATGATGTATTTCATTACTGTATACATGTATGATATCTGTTAATTTCATCATGATACATTTCAGGATTTGCTCAAAGAAACTGCTTGGAATCTGGTGGTTGGGTCCCCCTAATTATACCAATTGTAGAAGAATTAATTTGATTGGCTTGAAACGCGAAGTAAGTATAAAATATTTATCAGTCGAGCTATATTATTATTATTTTAAAACAAATATTGAAGTGGTACTGTTACAGTGAGACAGCTGCCATACTTAAGGAATATTACTTAGGTAAAAGTTATGTTATGTTTTGTAGACTGACGATGTTAAAGAAG